TGTTCCTATCTCTTCCACTCTCCCTTTGGCTTGAGCTTTCATTTTTCCATTCTTCATGCCACAGAATAGGAGAAAGCAGGGGTGTTTATATCCGATCCAATCTGATTGATTTGATCTAAACTGATTCAATCCGATTGATTTGACTTAAACTGATCTAATTCAATTAAAAACCGATTCAAACCAATATAAAATTGAATTGGTTTGAATTATAAAATTTTAAAATCGATATAATTGGTTTGATTTGTGATTTTATTTTCAAACTGCTCGAACTGCTCGATTACAAAATAAAATCTGTTTATAAGATAATTTAATTAAATAATATAATATATTTTTTGTAGTATTTTAAAATTTCTTTTTCTTATTTTATAATATAATAACTTCATTAATTTAATTAAAAAATAAAAATAAAATATCTCCATATTCCCTAAGTTATTTTTTCATTTTAATTATGCACTTTAATCTTAATTTTAAATTTCTAATTTACCCGTAACTTTATCTTATCATAATTGGTTTGCGCCTTCACTCTTAGAATCCTAAATTTATAATTTATTCCTAAAATAATATTATGATTCTCCTAACTAAATTTTAAAGAAATATCATTCTAAAAGTATTAAAACTATATAATAAAACTAGTCTTGACATTCTACTATTCTTAGATATTTAGTTTAGAAATTTTAAATTTTGATTATGAATGCTTTTAATTAATCTTAGTGATATTCATGTTAAATTTTATTTACTTATAATAGAATTTATAAGATGGGATTAAATTATTAGTGCATTAAGAAAAAAAAACTAATTTTAAGCTTTAAGAATTATTTACACTATACTAAAAATTTGAAGTCATCTTTTGTTGTTTTTGGTACCTTTAGTGATGTAACCAAGAAAAATTTTTGGAACTTTTCAATTTTTACAAATGGAAAAAAGTATAAGAACTTATTCATAATTTATACTTTTTATTACGTTTTTACTTATTTGGATGTTAATGTGTTTTATAGTTATGCTTTTTATTTGATGTTAAAATATTTTTATATTATCCTATATATTTAATAATGTTAAAAATTGATCAATCTGACTGAACCACACCAATCCGATTTAAATTGAATTGGTTTCATTATCATATAATACTATATTGGATTTGTTTAAAAATTTTATTAATTGATTAAATTAAATTATTTTAAAAAATATTAAAATCCGAATCAAACCATACCGCAAATAATATAGGAGAAAGTATACATCCACATGGTAAGATAACTCTTATGAACACGTGGCACAACCTTATTGGATGCTAAATTGGATGTAAACAATAACTTAAAATACCCCCCACTTGATCTGCTAAGTTGCATCTGTTCAAGCAGTTGAACATGATGACATATCTTTCAAGTTTATTGTGATTATGTCCATTTTAATCTTCTCCGATGTAAAAAATTCATTTATTTTGAGTAATAACAACAATGAAAGAAATTAATTAGAAGTATCATCACTAAGATCAACAAATTCAGAATTTGCTTTAAGCAAAATGAATACATGATTGGTTTGCAACTCGGGATTGACAAAAATGATGATATTGCAACCATTCAAAGTTAGGAACACAGATGTTTAGGTTCACTTACAAGAATAATAGTAAAAATACTTAAAATACTATATATATTAAAAATATTTCAATATTTCACATACATTACAAAAAAAATAAAAATTAAGACGTTTTGATGTGTTAGGACGTACATCATAACTATTCATTAAGTGAGTTACAGTCAAGGACCTTAATTGTAATTTATTTAATGAATGGTTGTGATGATACATTTTGACGTTAGAACATCATGATTTTTTTAATTCTAATATATATATATATATCTGTACTTTTTTTTTCTTAAAATTCATACTTGAAAAAACAATTGTATGCTCAAAATACTTGAAACACACGTTTATGTTCAAAATTTTCATAATGGTAGGAAAAAAAGGTTACAAATGAAATTCACGCAGAAAGTAAAAGTTTAGGTATCAAAAACAGAAAGTTGTTTTTCAATAATAATAAAAATATAAATTGTATAACAGACTAAAAAATATAAATTATTAAATAAAAAAATCAAATATTAAAGTATTAAGTCTCATTTAATAATTTTAATTATATAATTTAATATAATTTAAATAGTACAATAATTTTTATATAAAAAAATAAATAAATTGACCTCACTTTCCTCTTTCCTAAGTTTCCTTACCCTTACTTTCTGAAAAAGAAAAAAGAAAAGTTTCTTAACCAGCACAGTATTCTGGGCCAGAAGGCAGAAGCTACTTTCCCTCATCACTTTAGTTTCATTCTTAAATCAACCAGTTCTCGTCGAATTTCGAAGGATAACAATCCTACTGCTAATATCCTGGTAAGCTACCTCCGCAGAATTTCTTCTTTAATGCTTTCGTTTCCTTTCCTTCTATTGCTTAATTCACTCACTATTTAGATGCAAAGATGTTGGAATCACTCACTACTTAGATGCAGAAATCTTGGAATTTGATTAAATTGTACATGATATGGACGAATAATG